AAGGTGAGCCAGATAGACCTTGGCTGTATGTTTCCGCAAAAAGAGGCAACGCCGTTCCTCCCGATACCAATGGTTTGAGGCCCCCATCCCAATTCGAGGCTACGCCTGGCATGAAACCCCGTAAACCTTGCTGCCTATTCATACATCGTCCTCGAGGAATTTGTACGCGAACTTAAAGTCCGCCTTTCTTCGGTTCATCCTGCCCTTTGAGTTAGCTTAATTACCTCAGTCTAACGTCTTCAAGAAAATAACTCACCATGTGCTTTCGTAGTCGAAGAAGCGGTATGTGCCCTGCTCGAATTCCTCGGTGATGTTCTTTGGCTCTTCGTGGCGCTGGAACCAGGTTTGATATTGCTTGTGGAACCGCCAGCTCTGGTCCTTCAACGCCTTGGCCGCAAGGTATTGCTGGGGCGTGCCTTGCTTGTAGTAGAACACGTAGAAGAGCGTGTCAGGGTCGATCCGTGAATATAGCCGCGGGTCATCAAACAAAGGGAGTGGCTCTTGAGGAAAGCCAACGCCGGTTGATGTCAATCGCAAGTCGGGACGGTACGTTCTGGGCACATCTGCATCCATGATGTCGGGACACGTAGCCTGGCTGGTCTGGAGCATGCGTTGCGTGGATGGCGAGTTGAGAGGCGCTGGACGCTTGCGGGAAGCTTCAAAAGACTCGACGAGGTCTTGCAAAGATGACGGAAGGTGATATATGGACTCTTCCTCTCCCTCTGCTGTAGCCTGGATCCCATTTGTGGCACCGTTTGTTTGAGATGCTAAAGAACATTAGTAAACTATGAAAATGGTCACGGTGTTGGGCGGACTTGCCTTTGGCTGCTCCCGAAGCACTTGCCGCAGCCTGCTCCTTTTTCGCACGCTTCTCTGCCTTGGTAGGGGCCGAGACGGCCTTTGTGTTTGTGTTTGTGCTTGTGCTTGCGCTTGCGTTTGCGCTGGCGCTCGCATTTGCGATCGGTGGTTCGCTTGGGGTTGTTGATGGTGGTGGTGGCTGCTTGGGTTCGGGCTCCTTTGCTGCAACAGGGTGCGCTGATGTCGTTGCGGGTGAGCTTGTAGCGCTGGTTTTCGATTGCGAGCCCGGCGTACTGGCAGGGACGGGTGCTGCGCCTGGCGGAGGGGGCAAGGGAGAGATGCCGATCTTGTCTGACGCTGCCGCTGCCGCCGCCGCAGACGCGTATTTGAGGCCTTCAGCAGGTCTTGCGGGGGCTACCGCTGGCTTCATCGTAGGACCGGTTGCTGCGCCATTGCCAATGATTGTCGGCATATGCAAGGTAGCTAACGCAGGCAGTGGGGACTTGTTCTGTGAGCTCGACCTGCGTCCTGAAGCAGATGCTTCTGCTACTGCCTTTGGCTTTGGGGGAGCCTTGATGATTTCTGGTTCGGGTGTCGGTTCCTCCGCTATTGACTGAGCGTCTTGCGATGAGCCCTTGTCGCCATCTTGAGCTAGGCCAAATGCGCCCTCGTCCTCGTCCAGAGCGAGCTCCTCGTACATCTCCTCGTCCTCGACAAAGTCATCGTTCATGCCATCCGAGACGTAATATCGAATCGTCTCTTCAAGTTCAGTAACCTGATCCGTGTCGACTCCGCCGTTCTCTAGAGATCTCCGAATAAGCTCTAATTTGCCCTGATGCCACTTATGACGTTCGATGATGCGCTCGATCTCGGCCATTCGTTCCGCCTTGGCAGTTTGGCTCTTGCCCTTCTTCATCGTCGCTTGTATCGATTCGGCCTCGGCTTCTAGGGTTTCGATTTGTTGCTCGAGCTCGTCGACCATGCTATTTAGGAAGTCGCTTGCCTCGGCTTTTGCTTGTTCTTGGGGATCGAGCTTGGCTGAAGAGGCTAACCCTTCCTTGGAGTATGCCTTGGTCTTCATAGCCTTCTCTACGGCCTTGAACTTTTCCATTTGCTGCAGAGGGGATTAGCGGGACCGCGGGGAAGAGCTACGACCGGGGAGTTGGTAGACCAACCGTCTCGATCAACCTTCGATGCTCCAGCAAAGGAGACTTGTCCTTGATGTCGTTGCTTGCTGCCCATGTCTTGATCTGATCGCGGAGTCTCTGGAGCTTCTTGATTTCGCGCTTGAGGTTGTCCTCGAGCTTCTCTTTTTGGGAGATGTTGTTGGATTGCTCAATCTTTTCGTAAATGGCCTCGAATTCGGCGACGCCTTCCGCCACCTTTTTGAAGCACTTGTCTACTTCTTGTTGGAGTTTGCGTGCCGCCATCTTGTAGGGTTGTGTGTGGCAGAGATGAAAATGCTAAGCCTAATTACGTGTCTCGATACCGACGGGTTGGGTTTGTCGGTTGTGTCAGGTGTGTCGTGATTGACGCTGGTTTTCAGTGAGCTGTGCTCGTGTCGCAGACGGCCGTCGAAGGGGTGATGGGCGCGTTATGGGTGGATGAATGGGGGGTTTGTCCCTCGCGTGACGACTGCTACGCCGTGTTGACCGGCGTTTGTTGGTTGCGCAATACAGGTTTGCTTGCCGGGAAGTGAGGCGTTTGATGGGTTAAGGATGCGCGCATGCAGAAGAAAGAGCTGGATGGAAGATGCTATGTGGGAGGTGGAGGGTGGAGGTCGCCAGTACCTGAAGACCGATAGAGAGTGAAACATAGGAATGTTGCAAATGGGTACTTGAAAAGCTACAAAGGGGTCCTGAGGATACAAATAATCTCATAAGCACACCATTATTAATATAACTCTTACAAATGATCATTTTTTTACAATAAAATGGTCCATTGCGGTAGTGTAATAGCATGCAAGACCAGCCCCGGATTCTTTCTATCTATCAGACTGAAGTTCAGGCTACTTCGACTTCGTCACTAAATATGACACGGGCCACTGTCAAGCCCAGCCTTGCCAGCTGTTTCCTGCCGTGTTCAGGGAGATACCTTATTACCGGTAATTCAAATCAGGCAAGGCAATGTGCTAATGCTATTGGTTTTGCCCTCATTCGATGGCAGGAATTTTCAGCAATATTGAAGGGCTGCCAGACAGCAGCGCTTGTGACTTGCCAGGCCAAGTACCGATTTGCTGTTTGCTTCTTCTCCGTGTGGTTTGCCGCCCGTTTGCCTGTTTGTTCCCGACGTGCGCGGCTTGTAGCTTGCATTTTCCCGGGCGATACGGACTACTCAGCGGTCTCCAGCTGCTCCATTTGTGTTTTGACTTCATTCTCATCCGGGTAACAGTGTCGGAGGGATCCACGTTCCGGCCTATCAATCGTGTTTGAAGAACTTGTCACCGAAGCCAGCTTTTGCTACTCTTAGTGAGGTCTCTAAGTCTCAGGTAATTCCACTGCGTCGTCTCCAACATAGGCAGTGGTGCTGTGCAGTACAAAATGAAAGGTGAGACTGCTTTTCTTCAACTGAGCTTGTGCCTGGTGATGTGAGATAATGATCCCTCCTAGCTATCGTACAGCGGGTGCTGTCTGGGTCAGTGACGGTGGACAACGAAGTGATTTCTTCTATTGGAAAGGGACTTCTTGTTCTTGCTGCTGTGGCTCCCGAAGACACAGAGAAAGATGCCGAGAATCTAGCAAACAAGGTGTTGAAGCTTAGGATGTGGGACGACGATGCCGGCGCAAGGGTGCGTTTGGCCAGATCCTGACCACTACAAAACCTCCATCTAATCTTGTCTCAGTGGAAGAAATCAGTCCCGGACATTGACGGAGAAATTCTCTGCGGTATGTAGGCTGCCATTCTGGGCTCCTGTGACGGGCCTTTTCATGACAATTCCTAACCCTTACAGTGTCTCAATTCACGCTTTTCGCCAAGATTGTCAAGAACAAGCCGGATTTCCGCCTCAGCGCAGGAGCCGAGGATGCCAAGAGGCTCTATCACCATTTCTTGCAAAAATTGCAGGATAGCTACGCCGCCGATAAGGTCAAGGATGGACGCTTCCAGGCCATGATGGCTGTGGCTTCCGTCAATGACGGACCGGTCTGTGCCCTTCGAACCCAACGACAACTGGTGATTCTGTCCTAATTCAAGTCCAAAGGTCACATTTGAGCTCAATACAGAGTCGGCACCTAAGTCCTGATCGCTCTCGAAGTCTTCCGGATGCCATTTGCCATGGCCCAAGGTACTAGTCCAGCGTCGCCTGAGACAAGCCGGGGATTTACTCGAGCGGAACCTAGGTACGCCAGAACTGCAGCTTGGATCCTGTTCTTTCGAAGCGTCAAGAAGCGATGACAAACAGTAATGGACTGGCAGGCGGTCCGCTGCGGTTAAAGATAGATTTATATGCATCATACTTCCTTGCCTTAGGCGTGGAACTCTGCACATAGATGCAATTGCGATGGGCTTGTCATTTTTCAGAATACCTCAGAACGCAGGCAGAGACATTGCAACTCAATTACATCAACGCTGCCTACTTCAGCTGCATAATTTCTTTCTGCCTTATTTTCCCGTTTGCCTCACCTTGTCTCTTCAGCCTAGGTACCTAGATAACATACCTGCCTACCTTACCTATGTAGAGATGCATCACCTAAGGTACACAGCAGCGAAGGCAGGCACCTCATGGAAAAGCCGAGGACAGGGCAGGAAAGAGACATTGGTAAGAATAGCACCCTCTGATTGGCCCATTCTAAAGCTGTTGCTCCTTCCCGGTGAAGCATGCAGGTAGTGAGCAGCCGGTGGTGCGACTGCCCCGCGCACAGGCGTCCGAGCTACCAGAAAGTTCCATCGTACCTTCCCCCACCTTCCAGGTTAGCTCTGGGCTGAAGCATTTATCGTCCCCCTCCACCACCATCGTTCCGAGGATTAAGCTATACCTTGCCTCAGGTACCTTACTTCCTCGACTCAATTGTATGAACAACACTTCTCACGTTCAACGTGAATCAACGACAATTCCCACCAGCTTCGGCCCAATCATCGATAACCTTTCACTCCGCGAATTTCGTTTGCGGCAACCACATCTACCCCGCACTACTGGATCGAGTACAGAATCCTAGCCTGATCAACCTCAACGAGTTCAACTTGCACTTCAGAACGTAGTCACAATGTCCGCTGAGGGAACCGAAAACAAGGCCGCGCGCTCGCGCGTGTTCTTTGATATTACAGTCGGCGGCAAGTCCGCTGGCCGTATTACCATGGAGCTCTACAACGACCTCGTCCCCAAGACGGCCGAGAACTTCCGCTGCCTCTGCACCGGCGAAAAGGGTCTGGGCAAATCCGGCAAGCCTTTGCACTACAAGGGCTCTATCTTCCACCGCGTCATCAAGCAATTCATGATTCAGGGAGGTGACTTCACGGAGGGCAATGGTACTGGCGGCGAGTCTATTTACGGCGCAAAGTTCGAGGATGAGGCTTTCCCTAAGAAGCACGACCGTCCCTTCCTCCTGTCCATGGCCAATGCTGGGCCTAGTAAGTACTCTTCTATGCCTTGATGAGGGAGGCTTCTTTCTGACAATGCTATGTACAGACACCAACGGCTCTCAATTCTTCCTCACCACCGTCCCGACGCCTCACCTCGACAACAAGCACGTCGTCTTTGGCGAGGTCCTCAACGGCAAGTCCGTCGTTCGCCAGATCGAGAACCTCCAGACCGAATCAGGCGACAAGCCCCTCAAGGACGCCGTCATTGCAGACTGCGGCGAATTGACCGGAGACGCCGCTCTCGCAGCCGATGTGAAGGCCCCGGACGCCATGGGCGACACCTACGAGGACTTCCCCGAGGACTGTGCAACCCCGCCTGATGCTCAGGAAGTCATCAAGATTGCTGCCGCCTGCAAGGATTACGGCAACAAGGCCTTCAAGGCTGGCGACTTCAACCTCGGTCTCGAGAAGTACCAAAAGGGCCTGCGCTACATCAACGAGGAGCCCGACTTGGAGAAGGAGCCCGCTACTACCAAGGCGGAACTCCAAGCTCTCCGCTTTACCCTCAACAACAACTCGACCCTGCTCAACATCAAGCTCGAGGCCTGGGATGATGCCGCGAAGACGGCTACGTACGCTCTTGATGTTTCCGGAACCAAGGACGCTGACCGCGCCAAGGCCCTCTACCGCCGCGGCTTCGCCAACGTCCGCCTTAAGGACGAGGAGAACGCCATTAAGGATCTTGAAGAGGCGCACAAGCTCGTGCCGGATGATAAGGTCATTCTCCACGAGCTTAATGCCGTCAAGCAGAAGGCGGCCGCCCGTGCGGCCAAGGAGAAGGCGGCTTACAAGAAGTTCTTCCAATAGATGGAGCCACTCAGCGAGGGCGCAGCACGTACCGTACCGGGGACTGGACGGGGAAACACGGCATAGAAGCAGTGCGACTGTGATGGTATGAGGCAGAGCGAAGACTGGTGGATGACGATTCTATGATCTGGGCGACTAAAAACAAGGGAATTCTCTTAATTAATTGGAACAATTCGGGGCGTAAAGAGAAGCAGGCACTGGAAAACACAAAGAAAATTCATGGGTAGATACCTCGACTGAAAGTTCAATATCATTATATTATATACATTGCTCGTTTCGTTTTGTTCTAAAGGGAAATGAAATATGCTGTGAAGAGTCTCGTGGCGTGAGGCTGAGGCAAGACACGTAAATGCTAGTCATGATATGTCTGGGTATATTCATTCGTGGCCCATGTTGCGACGGCTACCTACCCTCCAACCAGCTCAAGAAAAGTTGGCGAGGAAGAAGAGACGAACACGGGATGGGTTTGGGTGTAAGAAGAAAGTGAAAAACAAATAGGGCCGACCCTCCCTCCAACCGAATGCATCAACAAGTAGAAAGGAACCTTCCCAAGCAGGCTCCATTGATGAACATTGTGCAAATGGAGAAACGCCAGAGGTAAGTTCAGTCGATCCTTGCCCACCCAAGACTGCCCTCGATTCCGGCGCAGGTGATAGTAATGCAGAAGAGGCGCTGCCCTTCCGCACTCTCTTGACGCTCCAAGCTGGGCGTATCCAGACATCCTCCTCGTTAAGAATGCAGAGACTTTGGCTCGTCATTCGACCATTGAAGTTTTTTTGGTTTTGGTTCGTGTGCGTGTGTATCGAAATAGTGATGAACAAAGGGAAATGAGTGGTAAATAAGGAACATCAATAGCCAGTGTTCCATGATCGGTCGAGATTCTTGCCGCGTGTTGTTGATGGAGACGACTCAGGTGAATCGCTCCGCCCGAACGGCTTCATGATGCCAGACAGAATATGACGGGTAGCCCTGCCATTCCGCTTGAGCGTAGCCAAATGCGAAGACGCGTGCTCTGAATGTCCAGCCGCTTGCCGCAGGGAGCTGAAATCTCGGCCACGACGGTGCTCACGACTTCTTCGCGTAGGAACATCGATCAACACGTCGCTGCCAGCCGAACCAGGTGGTTGGTAATTGTCTTGGTCAAGCCAAACTGTAGACGTGTTCGCTGAGGTCGGTGCTGAGTGATTGTTGTGATGCGTGGAAAGGCTCATGGAATCCAAGATGGCAGAGTTATGATCCATAGCGTCGGCGAAGTCGGAGGCAGGAAGGGATGCAGTCTCGTGAGACGAGCCATCCAACTTCGAGTAGCATAGGTCGGCGCGCTCCTGTAACACCAGACACATTTCATTGAAGATGAGAATGTCGTCTTCGCCGCCTACAGGTTTGACTACCTCCCCATTTCCGATAGGATTGGCCTCAGTCCACATCTTAACTAGCGCTGCGAAATTGCGAGCGTGATCAATCAAGTGAGGCAGTGCAGGGAACCCTTCTCGTGCCGTTGGTGATAGTCGTCCAAGAATCGCGATAGGTGTCGAATAGGATGGACCCAGGGCGACCTTGTTGCGTTCGACGGGGATGGCGCAGATCGTGTCAATGTAGTCCTTGACCGACTGACGGTTGGAGCCCAGAAATTTGTTCATTGGCTCCATCCATTCTTCCTTCTTACCAAACGTAGACAGGTTTCCAAGGGCCTGAAGTGCCTTGGCAACCAGTGTGAGCGTTCGCTGTGCTCTGGGTCTAGGGTGATCCCTCAACAGACCAAAGAGCTTGGGGCTCAAAATCGCCGGGCAAATGAAACGGAGGAACAAGAAGCCCGACACGCTCGTGTAAGTGACGGTTCGTAGCCAGTCGCCGTAGCGATCTTCAGCCACGGCTCGTACATATTTGAGGATTGAGCGAAGTTCCGGTGGGCATTTCGTGGGCTCCTTGCAAATACATTGCCACACCTCCGTTGTCAGCTGAATCAGTCTTGTCCAGTGCTCCTGAATGTTTTCACCAGGTTTGAGCTTGCTCGGGTCGACTTCGCAGTTGGGGTTGGACTCGTTGATCTCAAAAATCTTGGCTTGCAACATCTGCTCGAGATACTCCTTTCCTGATCTTCTCATATGGAACTCAAGCGCTTGCGTCAGCAGCGTATTGCCTCTGAACAACAAGTTGGCCTCTCCTGCAAGAGATTTACCCATGTCACGAAGAATCTGCTCTCTGTCACTGGATGACTCCATGGACTCATTCGATTTCAAGCGGCTGCTGAATCGGTACTTCTTCATCTGGTTTTGGCTGCCGCCAATACCGTCGATCTCGTCTTCGACTAGTGTTTGCAGCCATTCATTCGCATGACCAGACACTTGAAAAATGTTGAGAAAGATTTCGGAAAGCCGCCGTAAATTACCGGGAAGCGCATCAGCAATCTGAGCGGTCAGACCGGACGGAAAGCTATGAAGCAAAGTTGACAGCGCCTGGTATTCCTTAGAATGAAGAACAACGAGCTCCTCATGATGGAGCTTCACAAGCATTGTGCCCATGACCTGCTGTCGTTCGTCATAGATCTCAAGCCACCGCTCGAAGTCTTTGCCGGGTTCGACATGGTCCAAGGGGATGTCAACGGAGCCGCAAAGAATCTCAGTCAAATTTCCCGTCTTGGGCAGCCCAAGTGATGCCTGCAGTTGATGGCTGAAACTTTCCAGGTTCCCGTCCACTCTTTTCAGAATAATGGAAAGGAATGGCATAGTCGGCGGAAGGTCCGAAAATTGGTAATCTTCCCGCCAAAATGGATTCTTGGTTCCAGTCTTGATCGTTGATCGAGCGCGGACCTCGCCATCCAGTATGACTTCTGTCAGGTAGTTGCCCATCAAAGGGTCTGCGTCCTTGGGCTGTCGGTCGATGAAGCTAACGTCGGGAGAACAAGTCTTCGGTCTCAGTTTTGCCTCCGTCACCCGCAGACTGATCGTCTTCTCAATCCTGAATATCTCGCCGGAAAGATCTGACTCCAAATCCGTAACCTCCATCGCTCCTTCGGCTGAAGGCGAATCCAGTCGGAAAATGTCCGGCAGCGCGAATGCTCGAAGAAGAACAAACCAGACTTCGAATAACAAGCGGTTGTCCAGAGCAATGTACACAGGACGGAATATGGACAGCTGTGTAGATATCGGAGAGTAGTGTGGGAAAATGCCGATGCAGTACTCTTCGTCCAAAACTGACCGGTTCAGCTGTTGAATAGCGCATCGAGATAGTTGGGATAGTTCGACCACAGCGATGACAGCCTCGCCATCTCTTGTGGTGAGTCGAACCTCTCCGTTTTCTTGAAGGAGGAGGGAAACAACCCGCCAAGAAGTAGTCGGCGATCTCAGATCCCTCGTAGAGGGCCTTTTCACGATGGCCCTCGGCGAATTTGCCAAGCCCTTGTCCCAAAGTCTCACTTGGCCGACCTTGATGAATGCAGTTGTAGTCTTCGCGGTTCCATTCTCAGAGCCACGCCTTCTTACTGCTGGACGCAGGGCGGTAGGCGCAGGACTTCGATTGCCGTTCGAAAGTTTCACTTTCGGAGGTCGAAGTTGTTGCCAGCAGAGCAAAGCTGCAAGCCAGAGGTCTGTTTCTTCTGCTAGAAGCGGATGAATTAGAAGATCCAACGGGGGCTGGATGGGACACGAAACGTCCAAACATCTTTTCCCATCAGGTAATACGACTGGCGCAACTCGACATCCACGGAGGTCAGAAATGAGGGGGATATGAAATGGCCCATCATGTCCTGAGTCGAACATCAAGCTTCCCTTTTCTTCGTCAACGTATGCAATACCAAGCTGCCATGGACCCCGGGGGTCGGTCTGAAATTCGATTTCACCTCTCATGCGCCCACATAGATTTTTCATCATGAGCAGAATGTTGTTCGCATTTTCCGTCGGAACGGGAATGGGTAGCGAATCAACAGAAGGCGTTGAGCTTGTTGGCGGAGAAGTTGGCCGGGAAGACTGGCGCTTGATCAGACGTTTCGTCGACAGCTTTTTCTCTTTCAGGCTGTTTGCGACACCTAAGGGAATCTCCGAGTGTCGGGCCGGGATGACCGAGGGGAATCCCAAGGACTCGATGGGAGGCGGTGGGGAGCGAGCATCGTCGTACAAGGGCTGAGATCCAGACGAAGAAAACGACCCCACACGCTGGCGGCCCTCTCGGGAGGCAGCATTCATGAACTGCTGGCGTAGTGCGCCGTCCATGGTATGTGTCCTAGGCCGAAAGCTGCTTTGTTGCCTCAGAGGCGGACTAGTTGAATTATTCTCGTAGGAGCTTCCACCATATGTGTCATTAAACACCATTCCCTGTCGTCTCGAGAAGTCTCCCGGGATAGATCTCGGGGAGGTTTGAGGGGAGTTCGACGTGATACCGCGGGGTATCTGAGGAGGGACGGTCGGATCGAATGCGGCGTTCGCGGACGGCGTCGGCGAGAGGTCCGGATGATGATACTCGGGTGTCACGGCGCGGATCGTGGGGTTCGACGGGTGGTTAGAGCGGAATGATGTGCGTAGATTGGAGTTTGAGACGCGTTCCATGCCGCGAGACGACGAGTCTGCGGACAAGTTCTGGTTCTGGGATTGCTGCCAATTGAGGCGCGGCGTAACGTTGTGAACCCCGTTGTGGTAGGTTCGTCCATCCATTCCCGGTGGTGCCATGCTCATTCCATGGTTTGTCCTCATTTGGGGTCCGCCCGCATCTGAGGTTTGGTGATTCTATGTGCGTCCCCGGAATTCGTCGTCTCTTCCAGAGCTGCACCTGAGCGTCCCACCACGTCTTGCTTTCCGTAACCTAGCCAGCACGCCTTTCTGCCTCTTCCGAAATTGAGTGATGGCCGATCAGATTCTGCTTCCGAGGATAATGTGTGTGCCACCACGCAACAACAAGCATACTAGTTGCTGAGCGGTATTCCTGCAAGTCGCAAATCGGGTCTTACAGGTGGGAGTCGAGTGCGAAGCCCGTTGAGCGGTGGTGACGCTTGATGTCGTTGGGAGGCG